ATTAACATTCAAGAAAACATCACAACCGAAAAACTTTCAAACTGTTTTTCACTTTCAGATTTATTTATTTTTGACTGACATTACCAGCTACAATCAAGCATGCATTATTATTTGCTGTCATGGTTTTGCAATCAAAAAAAGTTGTTATAATGGAAGTCAATGGGGCAAAAAAACAGCCACCAACTGGGTAGTAAATTTGAACAATAGGTTTAGGGAAATTCTTACACTTTAAAGTCCATACCACTTACAGCTTTAGTGTAGAGTGCCTGAGTAAAACATTCTGTCAATTCAGTATGACATGTTGGTGGCATTATTCTTTCACTAATGAAAAGTGTTTCTCACCTCAATCCAAACTGAATCATCCTTTTTGATGTTACTTTGTTCAAAGAGTGTGATCTTTGATTGCAAGCATCTACTTGTAGGCAATTTTTTTTATTTTATTAAATGAATAAATTTCTAATTTCTTACATTTGACTATAGCATTAAGTTATACCAAGGTACTGTAGGACTTACAAATCAAATGAAATTATTTACACTGCAAAATTAAATTAACTAAACTAAATGTTAAATGTTTACATGGAAAGTAATATCAAAATATTTTTTGATGATTTTATCTAATTGGGCAAGTAAACACTTTTCCCTTCAAAAAAAATCTGAAAAGGTGTGTTACTTCGGCAATTTTATTTAGTGCATTACTTCTAAAGCTAAAAGTATTTTTTCCTTTCACAGTTTTCTTGAAAATAAATCCTGGACGATGGTCATAGGCTGAGATGAAAGGGACTCTTCTAAGACCTCGGATGTTCTAAATGACTTAAATCCTTGGAAAATGTGAGCTTTGTCCAAAGACACTGAACATTTGATTGCTGTAATTGGCATACAGAGAGGTAATGAACATACACATGGAGTCCTGCTTTTTGCAGTTCTCAACATCACAACATTCCTCCAAGACAGATGGATTTTTTTTTTTTTTATATATATAGCTTGAGTCTAGCTATACCATTTTTCATTCTGAAATGTTTTACTTATGAGGTTATTTTTATAAGGTAATTTTAATGAACTACTGACTTAGTATGTTTATACGCTCACAAGAAATTTGTATGTTCTTTGTAATTTTGTTTTTGGATGTGCATTTTTACCAAAGCTGCAGGCCTGTTTGTTTCAGATTCCCTGTTTATTGGTTTAAGAAGTAATAGTAAATGCAGAAAATAACAAAGGGAAGCGATTATACAAATATAAATTCATGAAATACTAACTTTTCATTCTGTGACATTTATTTATGTTACCTGTTTCAATTTCAGTGCTTATAGTTTTCTTCTTTTGAAATAACTTAGTGAATGTAATGTTAAAAAAATAAATTGTTTTGTGCACATTGTGTTATGATCGGGTAAGAGTAATGGAAGGACCCAAATTGCAAGTAAAAATACTTTATTGACGCAGTCAATATAGTATGACAAAGTCCAAACCCAGAAAAATAAACAAACAAACATGCTACGTATCCCACTCTATCGGCAATCTGAAAAACAGATGGGGACCAAGTAGCAAGGTCTCAGAAAGGGACTCCACGCCAGTCCTCAACACAGAGAGATCGGCAGAGAAATAACGAATTGACAAGAGACATGCTGCCTAGATATAGCAGAGTTAACGAGTCGCAGCTGGCAGGCTAATCAGGACAGCAGGACTCCACATAGCACGTGACAAAAACACTGACGTCAGACACACGTGGAACACCAAAACAAAACAAAACCATGTGACCAGAAAGACACTCAGAAGTGCGCACACACCTACAACCATGACACATTGTGCTTTATTTGTTGTTCTATGTTTGCAAAACTAAATTGAATTTATAAAGAAATTTTAATGTACTCTTGCAAAATTTGATGGATAAAGTGTTTTTACAAATTTATGTTTCTATTTAAACTTTACTGAAGTTTCTGTATAATCATTTAACGGAATAAGTAAATTGTACTGAGAATTTACTGTAAATTTATTGGATTTTAAAAAAAAAATGAAATTCAGTAAAAAAACAGAGAATGTACTGGTAATTACCATCACATTTTTTTTTTTTTTTTTTTTACGGAAGTTTTACAGAATTTTCCGTTTACAAAAGAAGGAAATTTCTGTAAAAAAACAGGTAAATGTGCTGGTAATTTTCTGCCAGTACATCGACAGCAGCCGATGCTCCACGCAGAGATCAGATAATTCAGAAGAACTGAAGAACATCTTCCCAAGACATTTCAAGAAACCTGTCTGCAAAGCTTTAGTATCAGGAAGGTTATAGATTCATGTGCTGTAACACTGAGGTTGCTTTCAAAAATATTTCATCAGTGAACTCTAGTGTAAACTAAATTACTGTAAATCAACATTTGTTGGCATTTTTAATAACTTTTTTTGGTCTTATTATTAGTTGTGTCTGTCTTTCACAAAATAAGGATGTACGACACTGCCAAACACTTTCCACAACAATGTTTTGGTTAAAAGGGTTATGATTGAATACCCAATACATTGATTGATGTATTATACACACACACACACACACACACACACACAAAGACGAATGAAAAATTGCTCTGTATTAATTGGCTGATGGCCATGTTTTTTCATGTTATGCCACCTTAGAAAACTGGATAGCAAATTTCAAGTTGCTTGGACAAACGATAGCTTAGATACAGTGTTTTTCACTTAATATACATTTATAATTATGTCTAACACAAAAACACATCCACAAATAACAATGTTTACATGGAGAAAAAATAAACAGAAATCTATTATTTTAATAATAGTCATTAATCATGCTTACACACATTTTGTGTCACACGTAGATATTTAAACCAAAGAATAGGTAACAAAATGTTAACAAGACCTTCAAGACCTTTTGTTGAAATGTATATACAGAATAATCAGCTTTCAGTGTAATTATTATAATTTCATAAGTGGAATAAAAAAACCTTGAATGGTAAGATTGGACTAAGTTTGATTTAAAATGCAATAACAGTGTTTTACCCATAGACTGTCTGTAGTAAGTGCTCTTTTGCTGCCATCTAGTGGTACAATGACAAAACTTGAAGGACTTTAAATGTTGTATATTGGTTTAGAATCATGTCACGTGTCTGAATAACTGAGGTTTTAAGTTTTATGCAATCCTGCTACACAGTATGTTTTACCCGCTACACGCTATATTTTGTATCTGTCTATATCATCTTAATTTGTTGTAATTCCACTACTATTTTAATATTATAATAGTAGGAAAACCTATTATAGTTATGAATACTAATATAGTATTATTCATACTATGATTATAGTATACATAGATATGCACATACTATTTTATATTGTATTGCTATTATTTATCTTTTAAAATATAATGTATTATTTTATTCTATAATATTGTATAGAATTTGTACTATTTTAATAATGTGTAATTCATTCTTTTTTATTAACGTTTTTATTCAGTTTTATATAGATGGGCTACTGCTGTACATTATTGTTTGTTATTGTTTACTGTCAACTCTTCAAGAGGTAAGATCTGGAGCAACTCTAACACTTCACAACGTACATGGAAACAAACAAAACTGTAAGAACAAAGAGGATTCCAGCACTACTTGTGATAAAGGAGATACAATTATTGATAATACAGCTCTTTTTGTACTATAAAATATTCAGCTTCCTTTAATACTGGAGTTTTTCATGCCGTAAAATTATAATAAGTTCATAAATATAAGTTCATAATACTGTTTTTTTATCCGAGACAGTTGCATCTGTTTATTTATTTATATATATATATATATATATATATATATATATATATATATATATATATATATATATATATATATATATATATATATATTAGTTTAAAAATACAATGCAAATATCGTCAACTATAATTGTGACTAGTCGAAACGGTTATCTCTTATTACCATTATATCTATACGGATACATGACGCATATTTTAGAGATATCTTCATTGAGTTTTGACTAGTCAAAATACATTTACAGAGATCTCGGCCGCATTTACGTTAACCGTGGCAGGCGCATTTAGCTGTGGCAGGTATCCATTTTACCCCTGCAGCCAGTATGTCAAAAACTTATACAACGTCCACACTTATTTGTATATTGTTATCACCGGGACTAAACCGAAAAGTGAATGAATGAATCTCTGGTATTAAGCAGTGGGTTAACATAACACTTCACCTGAAACCCTGAAAAATAATGACGATTACCTACATCACAACCATCTTGGATCACCTTGGGAACCCGCGTTCTAATAATGACGTTACAGAACGCGGGGTTCTCAGGCGCACACACACACACACAGTTTTCAGTAGTAATCTTCCAATTAGTTCAAGCACAAAAAGTATTTTTACAGCTGTCAGATCGAGTTTGTGAAAGAAGCTCAGTGCGAGAATTATCGAGATTTATCAGCTTTGCTATTTTGAATTTCCATATTTACTTGTTGTTGAAACTAACAGAAATGGAGTACATTTGGAAGATGATTGGTTTTTTTAAGGGGGAAACAAGCAATTGTTCCCGCCCTGAAGCAGAAAACACCAGCTCAGGTGAGTTTACTATGACAAGACTCTTCATTTCTCCAGTTCTAATTTAATAAATGTGGTCCTTAAAATACAGTTATACACAAAATACACAAAACCTGCAGTGGTAATTGTCTAGTACTGTGTTGTTTTTGTCGTGTAGTTTTGTTGTATGTAATATTCCTGTAATGAACTGTATAACTTTTATATATCTCTGGTATTTACCACAGTATTTTGTGTACTGTAATATTCTCCAGGTAAAATGTGGTATTTCACATTTTTGTAGTATTTACCACAGGACTTTTTGTATTGTATGTAATATTCCTGTAGTATTCTTGTGGCAATGAGTTGATATATTGCCTCATGAAAACAACAGAAAAATCACATGCATAACTGTAAACTGTTGTGATACTCCACTATAGAAAGTATGTCACAGATAATCACTTGTCATTGTCTTCTAGGAACATTTTAATACCATAAAGAATATAAAATCTATTTATGTTGCGAAAATTGAATAAAAGGTTTATTGTATTTAATCCACTTTAGGAAGCAGAGACAGAAAAAGAAAAGTCGATGAAGCTTTCCAGGATGACGAAAATCAGGAGGACTTGATGCCGGCAAAACGCCGTAAACCAGCACAGTTCCCTGATGACAGTGATGAACCCAGCACCAGCTCAGGTCAGTTTACTTCCACAAGAACACACTTTTCTACAGCTTTGTTAAAGAGATATACTTCACCAAAAATTTTAATTCTGTCATCATTTACTCACACTTTACTTGTTCTAAGCCTTTTTTATTTTCTTTTTTTCTGTCAACCAAAATAGATGATATTTTGAAGAAAGCTGGAAACCTGTCTTCATTGAATTCCATAGTATTTGTTTTCCTGTCGGGGTTGAGGGGGGCTGGTGTTTGTGGGAGTGGAGATTGGCGGGAGTCTGATAATAATCATTAAAAAAAAAAAAAACTAATTACATATGCAGTGTAAAACTAGCACTCAAAAAGCATAAATCTGGTAAAAATTGGTAAAACAACAGGCAATATATATTAACTTAAGGGGAGAAAGCCGGTAGTTCGATATGAAATCAGACATTGAGGAACCCCCATATAGCCAAAATGGCCTGATCCTCATTTCATAATTTACCTCTGTTAATATTCAGCTGAGAGATTGGTAGTTGCAAAGTTTTGACTATTTAGGGTCACCCTATACCGAGTAGTAATGAATAAATGCAGATTACCAAAATAAGTGATCATCTATAATTAACCCTTCCATATTTTGATCCACTTTAGGATGCAGAGGCAGAAAAAGAAAAGCCAAGGAAGCTTTTCAGGATGATGAAGATCAGGAGGACTTGATGCCGGCAAAACGCCATAAACCAGCACAGTTCCCTGATGACAATGAAGAACCCAGCACCAGCTCAGGTCAGTTTACCATGACAAGACCCTTCATTTCTCCAATTCTACTATGATCAATTTGGTCCTTAAAATACAGATTGTAAAGTCGAACACTATCACATGACTGTTGTTAATTATTGTGATTCAGAAAGAGTGCCATGGGTAATAATTTAAAGCCATCTCTCACCAAAATATCCTGTGGTATTCCATATGATCAATAGAAGAACAAAAAACTGGAGTGGTAATTGTGTAGTACTGTGCTGTTCTTGTGTAAGGTATTGTTGCATGTAATATTTCTGTAATGTTCTTACAGTAATTAGTAGTATTGCTTTAATATGTTTGTAATTTTTACAACAATACTTTGTGTACTGTAGTAGTGTCCATTTTAATGTGGTAATAATTTAACATTTTTGTAGATTTTACCACAGGGTTTTGTTGTACTGTATGTAATATTCCTGGAATTTTGTGGTAATAAATTGATATTAGCACATGAAAACAACAGAAAAATCACATGCATAACTCTAAATTGTTGTGATACTCCACTACAGAAAGTGCTGTGGTGATCCTGTCATATTTTGCTCAGCTTATTTGTTCTGTGGTAAATTAATTTTGTTCAGCAGGACAGTAGGATCAGTAAAGCCCCACTGAAGCCCAAGTTAAGTGTTAAATTGGGTTTATGCGACCGTTCAATTACACAAATGTGTAAAATGCCTACAAACAACCACAGTGTCTAAAAATCCTTTTGTCTGGAAAAAACTCTGTCACAGAGAACATTTTAATACAATAAAGATGATAAAATCTATTTATGTTATGAACATTTTATGAAAACCAAATTTTGTATATAATCCACTTTAGGAGGCACAAAAAGAAAACTCCAGGTGACTTTTCAGGATGATCAGGAGGACTTGATGCCGGCAAAACGCCGTAAACCATCACAGTTCCCTGATGACAGTGATGAACCCAGCACCAGCTCAGGTCAGTTTACTAACACAAGAATACACTTTTCTTCAACTTCGTTAAACCAAAAAAAGATGATATTTTGAAGAAAGCTGGAAACCTGTCTTCATTAAATTCCATAGTATTTTTTTCCTGTCGGGGTTGAGGAGGGCTGGTGTTTGTGGGAGTGGAGATTGGCGGGAGTCTGATAATAATCATTAAAAAAAAAGACATATGGAGTGCAAAACTAGCACTCAAAAAAGCATAAATCTGGTAAAAATTGGTAAAACAACAGGCATTATATATTAACTTAAGGGGAGAAAGCGAAAGCCGGTAGTTCGATGTGAAATCAGACATTGAGGAACCCTCATATAGCCAAAATGGCCTGATCCTCATTTCATAATTTACCTCTGTTATTATTCAGCTGAGAGATTGGTCGTTGCAAAGTTTTGACTATTTAGGGTCACCCTATACCAAGTAGTAATGAATGAATGAAGATTACTAAAATAAGTGATCATCTGTAATTAACCCTTCCATATTTTGTTCCACTTTAGGATGCAGAGGCAGAAAAAGAAAAGCCAAGGAAGCTTTTCAGGATGATGAAGATCAGGAGGACTTGATGCCGACAAAACGCCATAAACCAGCACAGTTCCCTGATGACAGTGATGAACCCAGCACCAGCTCAGGTCAGTTTACAATGACAAGACCCTTCATTTCTCCAATCCTACTATGATCAATTTGGTCCTTAAAATACAGTTTGTTAAGTTGAGCAATATCACATGACTGTCATTACCATCGCCATCTCTCACAAAAATATCCTGTGGTATTCCATATGATAAAACAGAAAAACAAAAAAACTGGAGTGGTTATTGTGTAGTACTGTGCTGTTCTTGTGTAAGGTATTGTTGCATGTAATATTTCTGTAATGTTCTTACAGTAATTAATAGTATTGCTTTAATATGTTAGTAATTTTTACAACAATACTTTGTGTACTGTAGTAGTGTCCATTTTAATATGGTAATAATTTAACATTTTTGTAGCTTTTACCACAGGGTTTTGTTGTACTGTATGTAATATTCCTGGATTCTTGTGGTAATGAGTTGATATTGCCACATGAAAACAACAGAAAAAGCTTAAATCTCTTTGAATAAACAAGCTCTTATCTAATTCATTTGATTATTTCTTCATTTAGTTTCAAACAACTAGAATAAATCATTTAACAGAACTAAACTCGTTCTATTCTTTTCCATAAGACATGTTTCTGTTTTGCAAATCCAACAAGTAGCTTGTTTCCTTTTTTTGAGTGTAATGAGTTAATATTGCCTCATGAAAACAACAGAAAAATCACATGCATAGCTCTAAATTGTTGTGATACTCCACTACAGAAAGTGCTGTGGTGATCCTGTCATATTTTGCTCAGCTTATTTGTTCTGTGGTAAATTTATTTTGTTCAGCAGGACAGTAGGATCAGTAAAGCCCCACTAAATCCCAACTTAAAGTGTTAAATTGGGTTTATGCGAAATGTGTAAAATACTTAAAAGCAATTACAGTGTCTAAAAAATTATTTTGTCTGTAGAAACTCTGTCTCAGATATAATCACTTGTTAATTGTTTTTAAAGAAAATCTTAATACAATAAAGATTATAAAATCTATTTATGTTAACAAAATTTTATAAAAAAAAAAAATTATTGTATATAATCCACTTTAGGAGGCAGAAAAAGAAAACTCGAGGTGACTTTTCAGGATGATCAGGAGGACTTGATGCCGGCAAAACGTTGTGAACCATCACAGTTCCCTGATGACAATGAAGAACCCAGCACCAGCTCAGGTCAGTTTACTTCCACCAGAACACACTTTTCTACAGCTTTGTTAAAGAGATATACTTCACCAAAAATGAAAGTTCTGTCATCATTTAGTCACGCTTTACTTGTTCCAAACCTTTTGTATTTTCTTTTTTCTGTCAACCAAAATAGATAATATTTTGAAGAAAGCTGGAAACCTGTCTTCATTGAATTCCATAGTATTTGTTTTCCTGCTGTGGAAGTCAATGATTAGAGGGTTTCAGCTTTCTTCAAAATATATTCTTTTAGTAATAATACTCTCATAAAGGTTCGGAACCACTTGAGGAGGAGTAAATTGTGAGTAAAACATGACATGCAGAAAACATAAATCTGGTAGAAGTTGGTGTAAAAACAGGCTATATATCAACTTAAGGGGAGAAAACCAGTCGTTCGATGTGAAATCAGACATTGAGGAACCCTCATATAGCCAAAATGGCCTGATCCTCGTTTCGTAATTTTCCTCTGCAAATATACTGAGAGATTGGTAGTTGCTAAGCTGCGACTATTCGGCGTCACCCTATACCGAGTAGTAATATGAATGCAGATTACCAAAATAAGTGATCATCTATAACTAATAGGGATGTAACGGTATTGTAAATACCGTCATACCGCAATATTAATTTTTTTCGATATTACCGTAGTCGCATGACTCGGTAAAACTATAGGTCTTCTGAGAAAATTTGCTCAGGCGAATGAAGCGAACGGGAGGTACCGGAAACTACAATTCCCATCAGCCCAGGCTTGGCCATAATCCCTTGCGGTCTGTTGTCGCTACAGATCCAGTAATGCGGAAATGGAGTGTGCTGCTAGAAGCGGGGATCAAAAAGAGCTGGGTGTTGTCGCCGCGCGCGTACTGAATAGTGGTGTTGTCGCGCGAGTTCTTATCAGCTGTGTTGTCGCGCGAGTTTTTATCAGCTGTGTTGTCGCGCGCGTACTGTAAAGCGGGGACGGAGGGTATGTCGCGTCGCGGGGGCACTTTTGATCATTTTGGAAGGGAACTTTCTATCCAAGACTAAAAAGGGCATGTGCACTGCACAGGTTGAGCCTTGTGTGTGCACGTGCCTGCAAGTTGGGGAATAGGACTAATAATCAGTCATGGGGACTGCAGAAACACAGCACACTGTTCAGATTGATGCAGACATGAGATCTCTATCTCACTCATGGTTTGTCCTCTCAAGTGGGGGAAAGACAATGCACAACGTTACCCACTGCTGTCAACCTGGGCCAAGTCATATCTCTCTGTCCCAGAAACCTCAGTCCCAAATGAGAGGGTTTTTTTCTGTTGTAGGGGACATTGTAAATACCCAGAGATACCAGCTTTTACCAGATTATAGTTGTATGATAATTTTCCTTAAAACCCATCTCTATCTAAGTGAGTGAGTGATTAAATGTTGAATGTGATGAGTTTTCAACACTACTAAATTGAAACTTAATTTTTTTTACATGGTTTAATATTTTTTTGTTATTAAAATTGAAGTTCCTGTTTCAAAGCTTACAGATAGATGACTAATTTGTATGTCATTGACACTTTTGGCACTTTTTTGGAGTATTTTCATAAGTTTTGTTTTTTCCTGTAAATGATTCAATAAATACCGTACCGTGACATTCATACCGAGGTATTACCGTACCGTGAAATTCTGATACCGTTACATCCCTAATAACTAACCCTTCCATATTTTGATCCACTTTAGGATGCAGAGGCAGAAAAAGAAAAGCCAAGAAAGCTTTTCAGGATGATGATGATCAGGAGGACTTGATGCCGGCAAAACGCCATAAACCAGCACAGTTCCCTGATGAAGGTGATGAACCCAGCACCAGCTCAGGTCAGTTTACTACCACAAGACCCTTCATTTCACCACTAAATTTGGTCCTTAAAATACAGATTGTTAAGTTGAGCAATATCACATCACTGTCGTTACTGTTTGTGGTTCAGAATGAGTGTCATAGGTAATAATTTAAAGCCATCTCTCACAAAAATATCCTGTGGTATTCCATATGATAAAACAGCATAACCCAAATAACTGGAGTGGTAATTGTGTAGTACTGTGTTGTTTTGTGTAAGGCATTGTTGTATGTGATTTTCTTGTAATATTCTTGTGGTAATGAGTTAATATTGGCACATGAAAACAACAGAAAAATTACATGCATAGCTCTAAATTGTTGTGATACTCCACTAAAGAAAGGGCTTTGGTGATCCTGTCATATTTTTCTCAGCTTATTTGTTCTGTGGTAAATTTATTTTGTTCAGCAGGACAGTAGGATCAGTAAAGCCCATTTTTAAAAGGGATATCACAAGGATAGGAGTGTCAAATTGGGTTTATGCAACCGTTTAATGACACAAATGTGAAAAATGCATAGAAACAACCACATTGTCTTTAAAATCTTTTTGTTTGAAGAAACTCTCTTGTCACAGATTATAATCACTTGTCATTGTCTTCTAGGAAAATGTTAATTAAGTATAAAACATCAAATCTATTTATAATTTGAAAATAAAACATTTGTTGTATCTAATCCATTTTAGGACGCAGAGGCCGAAAAAGAAAAGCCAAGAAAGCTTTTCAGGATGATGATGATCAGGAGGACTTGATGCCGGCAACACGCCGCAAACCAACACAGTTCCCTGATGACAGTGAAGAACCCAGCACCAGCTCAGGTCAGTTTACTACCACAAGAACACATTTGCAACCATTCGATGACACAACTATATACAACTAATATATAATACATAGAAGCAACCACAATGTCTTTTGGTTTGAAGAAACTCTGTTACAGATTATAATCACTTGTCATTGTTTTCTAAGAAAATGTTAATAAAACATAGAATATCACATTTATTTACATTATAAAAATTGAATAAAAAGTTTATTGTATTTAATCCACTTTAGGGGGCAGAGGCAGAAAAAGAAAAGCCAAGAAAGCTTTTCAGAATGATGAAAATCAGGAGGACTTGATGCCGGCAAAACGCCATAAACCAACACAGTTCCCTGATGAAAGTGATGAACCCAGCACCATCTCAGGTCAGTTTACTACCACTAGACCCTTCATTTCTCCACTAAATTTAGTCCTTAAAATACAGATTGTAAAGTTGAGCAGTATCACATCACTGTCGTTACTGTTTGTGGTTCAGAAAGAGTGTCATAGGAAATAATTCAATGCCATCTTTCACAAAAATATCCTGTGGTATTCCATATGATAAAACAGCATAACCCAAATAACTGGAGTGGTAATTGTGTAGTACTGTGTTGTTTTTGTGTAAGGTATTGTTGTCTGTAATTTTCTTGTAATATTCTTGTGGTAATGAGTTAATATTGGCACATGAAAACAACAGAAAAATCACATGCATAGCTCTAAATTGTTGTGATACTCCACTAAAGAAAGGGCTTTGGTGATCCTGTCATATTTTTCTCAGCTTATTTGTTCTGTGGTAAATTTATTTTGTTCAGCAGGACAGTAGGATCAGTAAAGCCCATTTTTAAAAGGGATATCACAAGGATAGGAGTGTCAAATTGGGTTTATGCAACCGTTTAATGACACAAATGTGAAAAATGCTTAGAAACAACCACATTGTCTTTAAAATCCTTTTGTTTGAAGAAACTCTCTTGTCACAGATTATAATCACTTGTCATTGTCTTCTAGGAAAATGTTAATTAAGTATAAAACATCAAATCTATTTATAATTTGAAAATAAAACATTTGTTGTATCTAATCCATTTTAGGACGCAGAGGCGGAAAAAGAAAAGCCAAGAAAGCTTTTCAGGATGATGATGATCAGGAGGACTTGATGCCGGCAACACGCCGCAAACCAACACAGTTCCCTGATGACAGTGAAGAACCCAGCACCAGCTCAGGTCAGTTTACTACCACAAGAACACACTTTTCTTCAGCTTCGTTAAAGAGAAATACTTTTCTGTGGTAAATTAATTTTGTTCAGCAGGATCACTAAAGCCCATTTTTGTTAGAGATATATCATGAATAGGAATGTTAAATTGGGATTTGCAACCATTGATGACACAGCTATATAAAATGCATAGAAGCAACCACAATGTCTTTTGGTTTGAAGAAACTGTTACATATTATAATCACTTGTCATTGTTTTGTAAGAAAATGTTAATTAAGTATAAAACATCAAATCTATTTATAATTTGAAAATAAAACGTTTGTTGTATCTAATCCATTTTAGGACGCAGAGGCAGAAAAAGAAAAGCCAAGAAAGCTTTTCAGGATGATGATGATCAGGAGGACTTGATGCCGGCAACACGCCGCAAACCAACACAGTTCCCTGATGAAAGTGAAGAACCCAGCACCAGCTCAGGTCAGTTTACTACCACAAGAACACATTTGCAACCATTCGATGACACAACTATATACAACTAATATATAATACACAGAAGCAACCACAATGTCTTTTGGTTTGAAGAAACTCTGTTACAGATTATAATCACTTGTCATTGTTTTCTAAGAAAATGTTAATAAAACATAGAATATCACATTTATTTACATTATAAAAATTGAATAAAAAGTTTATTGTATTTAATGTACTTTAGGGGGCAGAGGCAGAAAAATACAAATGGAGGAAGCTTTTAAGGATGATGAAGATCAGGAGGACTTGATGCCGGCAACACAGCATAAACCAACACAGTTCCCTGATGGAAGTGATGAACCCAGCACCAGCTCAGGTCAGTTTACTTCCACAAAACACACTTTTCTTTAGCTCCACTTTCAGTAAAGAGATAGTTTTCTGTCTCATCACTGCTGACAATGAACTGAAAAGTTTCCGACAACTTTCAAATACATGTAACTGAGATAACCTTCAGGTTAGAGACTATTTCAATAAGAGCACAAGAGATTCAGAAAATATAGAACCAACATCAGTGTGGGTATTTGCAGAAACTTACAAAAAGAAGGTGAATAAGAAATTAGTATCAATAAACTATTCCTGTCTGACATCAGCAAAGAAACACTCAGCCATGTATATCAAATAGAAATGGGAAAAGGAAGCTAATGTAATTATAAGAAAAGAGGTATGGTTATCTATGTGGAAAACACAGATGATCACAATTAACCCAGATTCAAGGGAATTTATTTGGAAAAAATAAATATTTTCCAACTTGTAATAAAAAATGGTGAATGCTGGAGAAAATGTGGAAATGCAATGGCTGATCATTTTCACATAGTTTAATATTGTAATATTATTCACACATTTTGGCAAGATCTGAAAATAGAGATAAAAACAATAATGGGATTGAATCTGGAATGTAATTTTAAAACTATGTACATGGAAAATAATTCTTCAAAATAACAAAAAATTATACATATCTCCTTATTACACTGCTAGTAGTGCTGTGCGTCATTTGTTTAACCCTTTAAGGTTACGTGCTGGCTGACTGACTGACAGGTGCGTGATGTGTGAGGCCAGCAAACACGATGTATAGCTGTTTCACTTTACTTCAGGACACATTAATACCGCTCTGTAGGTCTTCAAAAATATTCCTAGCAAATTTAATAAATATTGGAGACATACTTGTTAAATAAATTCACTATATCGTTCTTCAGCAGCGTTTATTTGACAGCGCACAAGAAGATCTGCACTTGAGCAGCATATTTGAGGGGTTGTGCAAGAAGTTTTGTGCATGAGCAGAGGAAATCAGCGCGCAAGCAAAAAGATTGGCATGCTTGAAGGCTATTACATAAATGCGATCTCAAGTTGTAATACTGCGCTCACGACATTTGTCATTGTAATAACGCCACAGGTAGTTAGTAGATCTGTATAAAAAAGGCCTGCTTTCACAGCTGGAAAAAATCCTACAGGAAACACTGCTTAGGAATTTAAATAAGATTGTATCCAGTAAAGATATATATGAGTCCAGATGCAAAACCCTCTAAACCCATCAGACCACTTTTTTTGTAATAAGCATTTTCTATCAAACACCTATAATTAGGTTCAAACGAGTCATTTTCTAGATAATGAAAAGGTTATTGGCTAGTAAATGAAATAACTTTTTTTTTTTTAAAAAATGTCACTTTAGACAATTCTTTGGTTTTTAACAAGGTATATTTTCTTTTGCGTTAAAACCAGCTAAATCCACTTGTGCTTTTTATGCAAAACCCTGTAAATCCACAAATTGGGACAAAAAAGTATAATTTGTTGCAAAATCACTAAAGAAGCAATTAGAAATTATTTTACCAAACAATAAACACATACACAAACCTCCTAAAATTAAAAATACAGAAATCTGTCAAGTAAGTGGCAGTTCATTCCGCTGTGGTAACCCCTGATAAACCAGGGACTATAAGGAAATCTGTCAAGTAAGTGCATTAATCAATAACATTAAAATTGACATTACTTACATCTTAACATTATCATTTCTTAATTCTTATCATTATCTTAACTTCTTTCGTGAAACAATGTTGCCGTTTAATGTAAAGTAATTCAGATACATTTAAAGTAGCGTCACTGCGTAAAAAACATGAATGCATGCTGCACTTCTGACTGTAAAGTGTGTTTTCTTTTTCTTATAATGCACAGAGTTTTGAGGCAAGGGACATTTTCATTTGCCATTCACTGAAATTCAAACAGGCTCATGAACTTCATCAAACTCCATCTTGTAAAATCTAAATTAATAAAACAGTCTGCTCATAAAAGCCCGCGTATCAGAGCGCTGTTACATTGAAAACATGATTCGATTCACAGCTTCTGATTGGTTCTCGGGACATAGCGGGTTTTGCTGTCAAAGGCAAGTGGCGTTTAAAAGCTTTTGCAGACAAACTGTTATTTCTGAATGTGTGGATACTGGGATTTAGATGAACATGTACTATGTGCCTAAAGCATTTGCTTTATGTCTTTAGCTCATTTTTGGCGGAAGTTACGTTAAGCGGCTTTTGCATCTGAGCCCTTCATATATAAAAAAAGAAATAGTTCAGCCAAAAGTGAAGATGCTGAAATTGTTTGTTGCCTATACACAGCTTGACACAAACAGATATGCTGATAATGAGACTGAAGCTATGAATGCACATGCCCTGATCTGCTCATCCACAGAATAGGCAAAGCATTATTGTAGACAAAGAATCAGGAGACTAAAATGTAGTTAAAAAGATATAAAATAACCAGAATTAATTTGTTATAAACCACTACTTTGAGCAATTCCTTCATTAGATCCAGAGTTCAGAGCCCATGCTTTCAGGCAAGTTGCATGGTGCAGCAGACCTGTCAGATTCTGCTTGTGTCAAGCTGTTTTCATTGATGAAATCAACACTGAGAATATAAATATTGTACAAGTAAAATAAGCCAAACGTATTGTGAGATTCTTATTGGTTAACACACACACACACACACACACACACACACACACACACACACACACACACACACACACACACACACACACACACACAAAAACAGTTTGAAGTGTTAGTTGTTGTTGAGTGATGTGACATGAACTATTGACACTCCCTGCTTCTTTTTTTGGTTAATCTTTTACCATTTGAAAGTGCCTTCACATTTTTAATAGTTGAAAATATTATAAAATATAACAGATATTGTGAAAGATTAAATCCCTGCTGCCTAGATGCTTGTCTGACAGTCACAGA